CAGGTAATTAAGAACTGGAATTTATAAGGGCTTATTTAGAAGCAGGACACAATAATCTTTTAAGTGTATTTTCAGACAATGAATCCCTTGCAGGTAGGGTTTGGGTCACTGGCCAAGGGTGTGGAAAAAGGTTTCAGGTGGAGATACTTGCTCTGCTAAAGACACATAAACAAGGTCTAGTGTTCCAATGAACGTTGTGAAAAGCCTGGGCGTTAGTGAATCCACTTCCACACTCCTCATAAAAATGTTCTTGATATACTGACCACATTTCAATACCTGTAGAAAAAACCAGATTTTTTCCTTGTTTTAAAATTACTAGCTATACGTTGAAATTAATATAAATTAGGGGGTTCTCCGAGGTCTTGAAGTAGAGGGAAAAATCTTCCCTAGTTTTCATGAATAAACTCTTCTTTAACCTTCATCACTCAAGTATTATCAAGGGAAATTGCTCGGTTTAAGTCTTCTGAAAAGACTAATTGTCCAAGGATTAATATAAATTGGAAATCTTTGATTTCTTTCACTATGAAAAAAGAATCATTTACCTTCAGAAAGTATCCTATCGAGTTAGCTTTTTATACTTTTCCTTCATCCTTTATACTGTTCTACTTGTCATCCACAGGTTGCTACCCCATGTGCCCTGAGGAGAAGCCTGTTTATAATGAAGAGACACAGGAATGTGTGACTGCAGAGGAATGTGGGTGTTACATCAATGGAACCTACGTACCCCCTGGGCAAGAAGTACCCACAGAAGACAACTGCACAACATGGTACATAAAAAATGCAACAACATTTGCAGTAATTCAGGAGATAATTTATGTTATGCTGAGCACCTAATTTATTTTATTGAAAGAAAGCAATGACTTAGTTTGAATTAAATAATGACAGGCAATATTGGAAAATGTTACATCCACAAAAATATGCAGTATATGAAGATTAAGTGACAAATTTCTGTTTCTGTGCACTTGGCTCTGTAATGGGTGCCATAAACCATCTGCAATATTTAATTTTTTAAAATTTTGCTTTTAGTGTCTGCGTCCCTCCAGGATCCATAGAGTGTAAACCAAGCAAAGGTAAATAACGTTTGTCTTTTTCTACATATAAAAAGACCAAAATGCATAGAACAAGAGTTTGCATTCCCAGAACACGCAGTATCCCTTCCAGCTTAGGCCATTCTATGATTGACTTTGTAATTCTATGATTGACTTTGTATCGTAGAAAAGTGACAGGTAGTAAGTAGCAGCTGTTATTTCTCTCAGAGAATTTTAAAACCTGGGTTTTAAGCCTGTTCATCTAAATGTTCTGTACAGGCCTTTATTAGATATGCCTTAATGTTCCTCTAAATGTAAAGACGGGTTAGTGTCATGTGTTAGACTACCAGCTACTGGTATAGCTCTGAAAAGAACATGCGTGATTTACAATGCTTACCCATCCAAAGTATTTTGCTTTTGTCTCTCACCTGGTAGTAGAAAACTTGCCTAAGCAAAGCTCTTTCTTGCAGGGTGCCCTTGTGTCATCAATGGAACAAGTTACCAAGAAGGTGACGTTGTGGCACAAATACAGAATGGCAGCATGTGTATAATATACGTTTGTGCGGAAAATGGTTCTGTGGTTCCTAAAGATATTTTTCCTTGTCCGACTTCTACGTCACCTACCACCATTTCAACCTCCTCTCCTACCACTACTCTCACCACAAGTAAGTCTTCGACAGAGATGCACGTATAAATTTTTTTTTTCTTGAAGGAAAATACTTTAAAGATAGAACATACAATTGTATGGACTTATAGTTGACACAGAGTGATATTTAGGAATAGTTTTATCACACCACACTAAGACTTTTAACACTTTGGGTTGCTTTACTTCTCATGGAAGGAATTGTAACTATAAATGTTTCTTATTTCTGAAAAATACGTTGGCATTTCAGTCCTGCTGGGGTAGTAAAAAATTGTCTCAGTAGTGTCAGCAAAAAAAAAGTATAATTAGGATATTTAAAGCTACTATTATATTTTTTTCTGAAGCTTGTAGCTGATGGAGTAATCTTCTTTTTTTTCTATTTCAGTTACCACTACAAGCCCTCCACCAACTACAAGTAAGTTTTACATGGAAAACTGAGTTGTTAAAAAATGTCAAATGAACATTGAAAGGAAGATTAATTTAAGACAATCACTATAGAAAAATGTATTTAAACTAAAATCAAATAATTTTTAAAAAATGCAAACATGTGAGAAGTATGGAGAGGGGAAAGATCTTTAAAGGCTTCAGCTCGGTGATTTTACTTTGATATGAAGCCTCCTGTTGAAAATCCTGATAATATAGAACCAGTTCTAGAACTCTTTTCTCCTGGAAAACTGACAAGCTGCAACGTATTGCTCTAGTCCTTAATGGAGCAGAATACAAAATTAATCTGCTCAGAACATTCTGTGTAAACTCAGATGCTGAAACTCTGTCTTTTCTTGCAGCTCCGTGCTTTGGATTAGTCTGTACTTGGACAGAGTGGTTTGATGTTAGTAACCCTGAAGAAGACGGTGGTGACTACGAAACCTACAAAGCAATAAGAAATGAACATGGAGACAAAATATGTGAAGCTCCTGAAGAAATTCAATGCAGGGCTAAGGATAAGCCTGATGTGAGCTTAGAGGAACTTGGCCAGAAAGTTGAGTGTAATGTTTCATATGGCCTCATCTGTAAAAACGAGGACCAAGACATAACTATGTGGCAACTCTGCTATAATTATGAAATTAGGGTAAACTGTTGTGAGTGGCAAGAAATTCCTTGTGAGGCTACAACTACACCGAGTCCGACGCCAACTGCAACTTCAACCACCACCAGCACTACAGTCCCCACCACCACTACAACCAGGCAGCCAACAACAATCACCACCACGCCCGTACCCACCCCAACCGTCACACCATCGGTCCCTGCCCCAGGAACAACCTCTTCAGGTATTTAGCAGACCACTACTCTCTGTTCTTGCTTCACCACGGGAGAGACTGGGGGCCGGTTAGCTCAGTCGGTTAGAGCGTGGTGCTGATAACACCAAGGTCATGGGTTCGATCCCCACTCGGTCCCCATGTGTTGCCTGATCTAGTTGAGGGGCGTCCATGCCCATGACAGGGAGGTTGGATGAAATGATCTCTAAGGTCCCTTCCAGCCTAGGCCAGTCTAGGATTCTGTGATTCTATGAAACAAAGGGCTGTCTGCTCCTAAAGGCATGTCACCTCCACAGCAGATCCTGAGCTGGCAGGAGTCTTACTTATGCTGATTTGGAGCTCTGTCCATCTGCTATGGAGAAGATTCCCAGAACAACCTGTTTATGAGGTTAGAGTAGGCCTTGATTTAGAGTACCAGCATTTTGGGCATTGTTTGGGCGGTGCTGTGCAGAATTCCTTCCCTTTCTTCTCATGCTTTACCCCGGTCAGTGTTAACATTTGCCTGGTTATGGATGTAGGAAGAACTCCCCTGCCAGGATTTCTGGAAGAGTTTTGCTGTGGTCTATGGTTTGCAGGAACATATTATTTTCTTCACGGATCACAGCTTCCCCTCTCAGTTCTTGCTCCATGAGAGGTGTTCTAAGTAATAAGACAGAGACCGTAAATCTCACAGAGCCTTACCTCTTGTTAGGTATTTTCGATGTAGTGAGAAACATGTTACAGTCTCCTTGCTGGGAAAGGAAAGTCATGACCATGTCTGAGCGGTGATTTGGAACTAGACTGCTTTCTTTCTAGGGTAGAAAGGGAAGCCTGGTGATACAGGCCTTTACTGTGGTAAGAGTGGCCTGAATGCTAGAGGTTTATGGTTGTGGCCTAAAACCTGACTTCTGTTAATGCTGTGTCCCACTCATGCACCTTTCTCTGCTTTCTCTGTCCCTGCTCTTTTTAACAGCTCCACCTTCGTCCACAACAAGCACACCATCCCCTCCACCCAGCAGCACTACCACTCCCACACCAACGCCATCAAGGCCTCCCAGCACCACCACAACAACCACAACAACGCCTCCCAGCACCACCACCACGATGCCTCCCAGCAGCACCACCACCACGATGCCTCCCACCAGCACCACCACCACGATCCCTCCCACCGGCACCACCAGCACCACCACCACGATGCCTCCCACCAGCACCACCACCACCACAATCCCTCCCAGCAGCACCACCACTCCGATTCCTCCCACCAGCACCACCAGCACCACAACGATCCCTCCCAGCAGCACCACCAGTACCAGTACCACGACAATTCCTCCAAGCAGCACCACCCCTATAGGTACTTGTCTGGTCTGTAGTCTCCTGTGTTGCCTTGCTGTGAGAGAAAGGAAGGCCTGTGAGCACCTCAGCTTGTGCCTCCTGTGGGGCATCAGGGCAGGGAGTAATTGCAGTGAGTTCCCTGCGACAGCACATGCCCAGAGCTTGCCCTTAGGATGGCTGTTAGACAAGTGAGGACTGTCCTGTGCCTGCTCCCTTTGTGGTCACAAACCTTCCCAGAGTCTGGTTTCTCCCTGAGAGAGTGAGGCGGTGTGAGTGGCAGGAGAAGATGAGGGTGTGGCAGAAGTCCCTGCTTAGTCCTGCCCATGTCACATGTTGCCCTTGTGTGCGGGGCTTTGGCCCACAAGAATCCCAGCTGCGAGGGGCAGGCAGGCATGGCTCTCGGCAGTGCCTGTGTCCTGACTTGGCGTTAGTGCTCGTTGTAGGGCCAAGGATGGGAGCTGGGCCCGCTCGGGTGAGCTCTGGTGTGGCCCGGGCTGGCTGAGTGGGGAAGCAGTGTCAAGGGGCACCCTTGTGTGTAGGGGATGCCCACAGCACCACCCACAAGGGTGCTGGTGCCCTGGCTTGTTGTCTCTGTTCTGGCCATTTCTCACTGTTCCTCTTGTTGTTGTCCCCCAGACTGTTCCTGCGAGTGGACGGACTGGATTGACGTGAGTTACCCAGATAGTTCTGACAGAAACAGCGGTGACTACGAAACCTTTGAGAACATTGCAAAAAATGACTCCTCCTGGTTCTGCGCGAAGGCTGAGAATATTTCCTGCAGAGCAAAGAAATTCCCAAACATTCCCATTGAAGATTTAGGGCAGAAGGTGGAATGCAGCGTTGACGTTGGGCTCATCTGTAACAACAGCGATCAGAACATAGGAGGTATAATGCCGATGCCGGTCTGCCTCAACTATGAGATCAGGGTCTGCTGCACCCCTGACATCCCAGAGTGTATTTCAGCTACCACCACGAGCACCACGACAGCTCCACCTTCGTCCACAACAAGGAGCACCGTGTCCACCACACTCACGTCAACAACCAGTCCCACACCAACAACATCGCAGCCTCCCAGCAGCACCACCAGCACAATGCCTCCCAGCACCACCACCACCACCACAGTGTCCCCCAGCAGCACCACCAGTACCACTACAGTGATTCCTCCCCACCCCCCCACCACCACAGGGTCCCCCAGCAGCACCACCAGTACCACTGCAGTGATTCCTCCCCACCCCCCCACCACCACAGGGTCCCCCAGCAGCACCACCAGTACCACTGCAGTGATTCCTCCCCACCCCCCCACCACCACAGGGTCCCCCAGCAGCACCACCAGTACCACTACAGTGATTCCTCCCCACACCACCACCACTGTTCCTCCTAGCACCAGCACCACCACGGTTCCTCCCAGCA